CTCCTCCTCCTCCTCCTCCTCCTCCTCCTCCTCCTCCTCCTCCTCCTTCCTCTTCTTCTTCTTCCACCATTTCTAATTTTTCCTCCATATTCTGTATATTCAGTTCCCAGTTCTGGAGATTCTCCTGGACTCCCGAAGAGCAGGTGGCAGTCACGGCTAGGAGAGGGTCTGTAAGTCTTTGGGTTAGTTGGCCACTTTGGCAAATAAATTTAATAAATAACTAAATCTACTAAACAAACAAACGTGGTATTACACCTGATTAAAAGTGTGGTTCCATTTTCCATGAGATCCCAAGAATCCTCTGAATGCTGCTGTGTTTGTCCTCCCTGTCTTCTGTGTTATTTCTTTCCGTCTTTACCACATCTGGTAGAAGGTTCCTTCCACCTCTGGGCGTTTCTAGCGTTTATTCCTGTCGGATCTGCCTATTTGGGGAATTCTTCCTTTTTGGAGACTGCAACTGATCCCAATCAGGAAGGATTTCACTTTTCTCCCTCTTTCAGGATCCCTTTTAGTGTCTTGCTGCAATTGACTTTGGAAGATGACTCAAAACACAGAACATTTTCAGAAGTGAAAAGGGATCCTGGCCTGAACTAACCAACTTGGTCTCCTGTTCTGGGCCCTCCTGTGCCGCTCATGTGCCTCCATCTCTTCCTTCCTTCCCTCCAGCCAAGCCCACTGTCACCATCTCCCCCACCAAGATGGATCCCACTTCCCCCAACACCATCCTCCTCTGCACCGCCACGGGCTTTTACCCCCTGGAGATCGAGATCCAGTGGCTGAAGAACAGGAAGCTGGAGGAGGAGGGTGTGGCCTTCGCGGAGGAGTTCCAGAATGGAGACTGGACCTACCAGCTCCAAGTGATGCTGGAGACCCAGCCCCAGCGGGGGGATGTCTACACTTGCCAGGTGGGGCATGTCAGCCTGGAGGCCCCCATCACCGTCCAGTGGGGTAAGCCCCTCCCCTCCCTACCCTCCTGCCCTGAGAAGGGGGAGCGACCCTCACTGTGGGGGGAGCCGGAATGGACCCTCCTGGGGGACGGTGGGCCTGATCCTCCTGCTCAGGTGAGGCTCCTTCTCCTTCCCCAGAGCCCCGTTCCTCCAGCTCTGCCAGGAGCAAACTCTGGACAGGGATCATGGGGGCCGTGATAGGAGCGGCCTTCCTGGCTGTGGGGCTCTTCTCCTACCTGAAGAGCAAGAAAGGTGAGTCTGGGGGGGCTGGAGGAGAGGTTGTGGGGAGGGGACCATCTAGGGGAGGACTCTCATCGAGCTCAGCAGGTGGCCAAGAGGGTCTCCTTGAGGAATAGTTTTGGGAACTTCTGTTCGTCAAGGGGGCTATAAGGGAAGATCGTCCAACCTATTATGGGCTATCAGTGGGGAGAGGGACCCCCTGAGTCCTCCAGCCCATGAAGGATCCTGATTGGCTCTTTTTCTCCTTCCAGCCACTCCCATACAACCTCCTGCAGGTGAGTTTCTCCTCTTCCTCCCCCATCTATAATAGCGTTAGTTCGTTCTGCAGCTCCGTCCGTACTCGGATGGAGGGTGGATCTAAGCCCTTGAGAATGATGACCCTATCACCTTCATGAACTCCTTCCAAAACTCCACTGTGAACTGGACTCCTTCCTTCCCCCCCAGTCCCAGATGATCCTACTTGGCTCTCCATGGAGACTCATTTGGGTTCACTAGTCAGAACCTTGACAGGCTGTTCTTCCTGACCCCGCTTCTCCTTGTGGGAATTCACACAATTTCTGGCCAAGTGACCCCCAGGCTGCCCCCTTTTCTTCAACCCCCATCCTGGCCCCATGTCCTTTGCTCATAGGAAACGTCTGCAGGGGGGAGGGAGGGGTGGTCTCTCCTCTTGATTAACCCTGTAATTAAGACAAATGGGGAGAATACCAGAATCCCCTGGAGATGAAATGGGGAGGAATCCCAGGTCCTTCCCAGCCTTTTCCTCCCTGAAATGGGCAGATTCTCCCTCTATTTGTCCCTGCCTGTCAATCACCCCCCTGCAGTGTGGGCCTCCCTTGGCGGTGGGGGGCTGAAAGGGAAGAAAAAAATTATATTTACACAAAAATGTCTCTTTATATTCTGATTTTCTTCCCTGTCCCTTTTTCTGCAGCCCTGATGAATTAATCCTGCTCTCTGATGCAAAAGGATATTTTTTCTTTAGTGGCTGATGACTCTTTGTCCTGTTTGCAACCTCTAAGAAATGGAGGCTGAAGGTGGCAGGTTGGGGGGAGGAGGAGGATGGCAGCCTGGACCTTCTCCTACTGAGAACCCCCC